TATTCCTGTTGGAACACCAAGGGATTTGTTTCAGACTTTTGAGTTTGGTAAGGGTAAGATCGACCTGTGGTTTCACCATTTGCCATGGTGGTGAGGACAGAAGTCGGTATGGTGCAATGATGTTGAGATCAATTTTAGCTGCAGATATATGTGGTTTGATCCTGATTCCAAGTGCAGGAACCAGGCTTGGCAGTTTAGGAAAAGTTTTCATAGAGCTGCTGAAAAACACAATTGTATGCTGGATTGACTCATTTGAACGTAATTTAGTGATATACTGCAGTGAGAGTTTAATGCGGCGTTGTTCAAGGGAAGGTTATTAAGATCAACAGTTTATCCAAGGTTTTAAATGATTCAATAGATGGATCACTTTTCGTGGATGATTTTTATATTTTGTCGCGGTAAAAATATGCATACTGTTGAACGGCAACTGCAGTTGGACTGCTTACCCTCCTTCACCTCTTTAGATCACTGGTCCGCTCGAAGCTTGATTATGGCTCCATCGTATATGGTGGAGCCTGCAAAAGCAACTTAAAACTATTAGATTCTGTCCACCACCAAGGTCTCAGACTTTGTCTTGGGTCCTTTAGAACCTCTCCTGTTGACAGTCTCTACGTCGAGGCAGATGAACCATCTCTTACCCAACGGCGTATACAATTTTCATTACAATATATTACCAAACTATATTCTAACGAGTCTAATCCTGCATTTCTTTGTGTCTTTACTCCTCTTTATGGGGATTTGTACAACAAGAAATCTTCTCTGTTCCGCCTCATTGGCTCAGGATTAAGCCATTCATTATTGCTGCCGGCATTAAGCTGGTTAATATCTCTCCTTCCCGTCTTCTTTCTTCTCCTCCTTGGCAATTAGTTAGGCCACAAGTCGACCTAGCCTTAACTTCTTCTTAAAAGAAGAGGGACACCCAAGTAGGTATAAATATATCACATGAAATAAAGCCCTAAATCGGTTACACTTACTTGGGCTGTCAGTTAGGACATGCTTGACAGTGATTTTTTCATCACAAGGGATGCAAAAAGGAGGATCTTCACCTTTTAACAAATATTCATGAGTATACCTTGTGTGACCAATGCGACATCGTCGGATGATGACCATATACAATGGAACCGTAATCAAGTCTTGATCGGACCAGTGATCTATATAAGTGAAGAAGGGTAGCTTAAATCCCCTCCCCACTTTGAATTAATAACAACTTTCAATAAGTCGAGTGCCTTCAGGCATTTACTTTTCAAGATTTGATATGTGGAAGAAAAGTTAAATGGGAGTCGAAAATTAGTCCCAAGAACTTGGCCTCCTTGACAACTTTGATGGGAGTGCCATTTAAAAATAGTTCCGGGTCCTTATGCGGCTTATATTTTCTACAGAAGTGTAGGTAGTGTCATATGCTTTTTCAAGATAAAAAAAGATAGACACAGCGTGTTGTTTATTAATTATAGCGTTTTTAAACAAATGATTCCAAACGCATTAAGTGATCGACAGTACTTCTGTCTTTTACGGAAACCACATTGTATATCTGTTATTAGGTTATTTGTTTCCAAGTACCAAACAAGTCAATTGTTTATCATGCGTTCCATGGTTTTGCAAACACAGCTAGTTAGTGAAATAGGGCGATAACTGGACGGATCTGTATGATCACGTCCAGGTTTAGGTATTGGTACTACTATAGCGTCACGCCATGAGGGAGGAAATTTACCTGATGTCCAAATATCATCAAAAATATTTAAAAGAGTTTCTAGACAAGATTCTGGTTAGTGCTTCAGGACCTGATAATGTATGTTATCAGCATCTGTAGCAGTATCGTGAGCTTGTTCAAGAGCCGTATGGAGCTCATGAATAGAAAATAGTTCATTATAGTCTTCCCATTATCTGAATTGAAATTGATAGGTTTCTTTCTTGTTGTTTTGATATTGCTGGAATTTAGGCACATAATTAGAAGAGGAAGAATGTTTAGGAAGAGTTTCAACAGGTTTATTCGCAATATCTGTAAGTAATTGATTTCCATGTTTAAGATGATGGACACTAGATTTAGACACTACCTTTAATTGTCTGTATCATGCTCCACACTTTAGACATGGGCGTGTCTGGAATTTATTTTGGATACATAATTTTTTCCAAGATTGGCGTCTATTCTGTTTAAAGGTACGCCGCGCTTAGCATTTAAAATTAAAATTTATTCAAATTATGAACCATAGGGTGGCGACGAAAATAATGTTCCTAGCTTGTTTGCATTCTAATCGTAGTATTTTTTGTCATTTTAATGTATGGCTAAATGGTTGAAGGGATGGTGTGTAAATCCAGCTAGGGTCCATGCAGGTAGCAAGGTACTGTAAGTCCCCATGGACCCTGGCATTGTGATCTACCTTCAGTTGTTTGCGAGTAATAGCCTGTTTATATATTGCGTTATTGTGTATAGTGATATATTTTTGTGATAGCGTGCTAGTTTTAAATTAAGAGCTGTGATATTCTAGTAGTTTTACTGTCCTTCGGCTGACAGATTTTTATGTTCCCAATTTATTGTTTGTTATATTGATATAAATTAAATTGTTCTCGTCACGATATGGCTGAAATATTGCCGATCTGACGTTAAATATTAACTCACTCACTTGTTTGCATTCATCCTTGAACCAAGATTTTCGAATATGTTGGAATTGCAGAGGATTTTGGTATTCACTCATCAGCTATGATGTTCAGTGCATCAGTAAAACATTTGGCTGCATCAGGAACGCCAATAAAAAGTTCAGGTTTAAGTTTTGCAGCACATAGTGTTTCATACAGAGCCTAGTTAGCCTTTTTAAAATTCCGCCTTGATGATGGAGGAACATCAGATGGTGTTACAGGTTTTAGTATAGTAGGAAAATGGTCACTTCCACAGAGGTCATCGTGGACTGACCACTCGAATTCATTCAGTAGTTCTGAATTTGTAACTGTCAAGAGCAGAATATGTTCCTGTACCAGGCTGTAAATAAGTGTTGGAACCATCATTACAAATACATAAATCATTATCTGAACAAAACTCCTCCAGTAGTCTACCTTTAGCGTTTGTAGTTACACCCCCTCAGAGTGGATTGTGTCCATTTAAATCTCCCATGATAATACATGGTATTGGCAGTTGGTCATATAAAGCTTGAATATCGTTTTTTTTCAAACGTTGATGATGGAGAGATATATAAAGAAAATAATGTAAAGACAACGTTTAAAGTAAGTCGCACTGCAACAGCCTGCAGATTAGTAGTAAGTGAAAAATTGAAAACACGGTGCAGGTATGCACGGGACCAGGTTAGACTTGTTCAGTGGTTCAAAGGAAAACCAACAAGGTCAGGTACCATTAACTTTGTATTCTGGTGAAGGGTACAACAGAGGCATGCACCACATGGGTGCCGCCATATTGGATCCCAAAAGTTGGAATGATGCAAAATGTAGGTTGAAACGGAATTGGCATGCTAAAACGAAATAAGATTCATAGATAAAGTAAATGACCATTTTGGTCTTAAAAGGACTTTGTAACAGCCGCCCCAAAATTTAAGCATTAAATTTGAAATAACAAAAGTCCTTAGAACGTTCTGGAATAGTTCCTAGGAATTGAAATAGTAATTCAAGTGTCATTTGGGTCCACTGAACATTCTGGCAGAGGGACGAGTTTGGCCACAGGCCTCGTATAGTCCTTGTTCTTAACAGTTACTGTGGCCATCCGAACATGACCATCTTGTCCTGGGTGAGTTTGGGTCACACGTCCCACTGGCCACTGGGCACGGATTGACTGATTGTCAACAATCATGACGACATCTCCTTCCTGGATGTTGACTCTTGGTTTCTGCCATTTGCTCCGTAGCTGCATGTCGGGCAGATAGGATTTTATGAAGTGGGTCCAGAAGTGGTCCGCTAGGACCTGGCTGTGCCTCCATCTCTTCCGGCTTAGGAGTTGGTCCGCAGGATACACAACCTGAGGTAAAGATGTGTCATGCCGCCCCATTAGGAGAATGTTGGGTGTGATTGGGTCCAAATCTCTAGCATCTGATGACACGTAGGAAAGTGGCTTCGAGTTGAGAATGCCTTCGACTTCGCACAAGACAGTGCGCAAGGTTGCTTCGGTAACAGTCTGTTGACCAAGTGACACTCTGAGGCCATGTTTGACTGATCTGATCTCCCTCTCCCACACGCCTCCATGATGGGGTGCACTTGGAGGGTTGAACACAAATTCTACCTTTTGGTTGACAAGGTAGTGACGTAGTTCTGGTTCCATTTCAGACCATGCGTCCTGTAATTCTGATTTAGCACCTTTGAAGTTGGTGCCCTGGTCTGACAAGAGTTCATGAGGTTTACCCCTTCGGGATACAAAGCGGCGGAACGCCATGAGGAAAGCATCTGAATCCATAGACTCAAGGAGGTCTAGGTGCACTGCTCGGGTAGTCATACACTTAAAAATCACTCCCCATCGTTTCTCTAAACGACGTCCTATCTTCACCTGCATCGGGCCAAAACAGTCTACTCCAGTCGAGTAAAAGGCTGGTTTGAAGAGTCGGAGACGGGCCGGTGGTAGGTCGGCCATCTTCTGAGTTGCAGGGTTTGAACGCCACTTCTGGCAGGTAGCACACTTACGTTGATGTCGTCGTATGGCCTCTCTGCCCCGGAGGACCCAGAATCTGCGTCGGATCTCGGCAAAGAGATGTTCCGGACCGTAATGCAAGAGTTTCTCGTCATGATCTCTGATAATCAGTTTGGTGATCTCGTGGGTTGGATCAAGAACTATGGGATTCTTAATATTCGAATCCAGGGATTCAGCTCGACGGAGTCTGCCGCCTACACGGATCAAGTCAAGTTCTGGATCGTATTCAGGATCAAGTTGAATCAGTCGACTATCGTGTGGTAATTGCTTACCAGACTTGAGGCAATCAAAGTCCTTTGAGAAGCACTGTTGTTGTACTTGGCGGTACAGATAGTTCTCAGTTTGCTCAACATGTTCAGGAGTCAGTGTCTTAGTTTCCTCTTTAGGGGCCGCCCCCGTCAAGGGCTTCATTTACATCGGAGATGAATACTTCCCAAGATTCATACTGTGTTGGGTCAGGCAAAGTGGGTGTCTTTGTCACAATCGTTGACAACATGGCAGATTTCCTAAGTTCTGCTGGCTCGTCACTGCCTGTTGATGGAGATTCAGGCCATTCATCTGCTGACTGTCGGAGGAAGGCAGGTCCATTTCTCCATCTGGATTCTTCAACAAGGTCTTTGACACTCAGGCCTCGAGTGATATCATCAGCTGGGTTTTGCTGTGTGTTCACATACCTCCAGCAATGTGTGTCGGTGAGGTTCTGAATTTCAGCTACTCTGGCTCCAACGAATACCTTGTATCTGCAAGATTCAGACTGCAACCATGTGAGCACAGTAGTAGAGTCACTCCATAGATAAGTAGCTTGGATTGGTAGCGTTATTTCACACTGCAACAGGTCTGCTAACTGAGCACCTGTCAGAGCTGCACACAGCTCTAGCCGTGGTATGGTTAACTGTCTCTTCGGTGCAACCTTGGATCTGGACATCACGAAGCTGACATGAACCCTTCCATGTCGATCTTCTGAGCGCAAATAGGCGACTGATCCATATACCCTTTCGGATGCGTCACAGAAGATGTGTAATTGTGTAGTTGAATCGTCTGGATCAAACCCTTGAGGAATATAGCACCTTGGTAGAGTAATCAGAGGGATGAGTCCCAGCTCACTTTCCCAAGCAAGCCACCTGTCACGAAGTTGCCCATTTTCAATGGAATCGTTCCAGTTTCTCTTTGACTTCCATAAGTCTTGTACTATGACCTTGGCTTGTCCAATGAACGGTGACAGATACCCGATGGGGTCATATTGGCTTGCTAGCACTTTGTATACCATTCTCATGGTTAAATTGGGGTAGTCTACATTTCTGTGTTTGTAGGTAAGTTCATCTGACTGACAGTCCCAGCGTAAGCCCAAAGTCGGTTCTCTAGGTTCACCCTGTCCAAAGTTGAGCCACAGGTCTGCAGCCTCGGACCTCGCTTCAGCAGGGAGATCGGCGACAACCTCAGGAACATTACTTGCCCACTGTCTTATGTTGAATCCACCGTCTGTGAGCACATTTCGCATCTTGGTGACAAGCTGCTTTGCCTGAGTTTGGTTCTCGAAACTGTCCAAACAGTTATCTACATAGAAGGATTCACTCACTGATTTGAACACTTCCTCATTGCCTGTCTGGTTTTCAGCTGCATGTTTCAACAGTGCATAGCTTGCGCAGCAGGGGGAGCAGGTAGTACCAAAGGGCAGAACTTGCCATTCATACACGTCTGGTGGACGATCGCATTGCATGTCTCGCCACAGGAAACGAAGCAAGGGTCGATCAGGTGGAAGCAGTCTGATTTGGTGGAACATAGCTTTGATGTCGGCAGTTACTGCCACTGCATGCTGTCGGAACCGGAGAAGCACTCCTAGAAGTGATGATCCAATGGTAGGGCCTGCTAACAAGTGATTGTTAAGATTTTTAGATTCAAACTCGAATGAACAATTGAACACAAGGCGATGTTTTCCGTTATGTTCAACCACATGGTGAGGGATGTACCAGGACTCTTTCGAATCTCTTATCTCGTCATCAGTGAGTTTTTTCACAAATCCAGATTCATCAAGCTTCCGAATAGCCTCATTGTGCGTTCTGGCCATATCAGAATTGTCCTTTAGTCGTCGTTCAGTACGCTTCAGAGTTGGGAGAACAGCTTCCACCCTGGCATTGAAACGGGTACCATCATGAGAGCGTAAGAGTGGGGTTGCGTAGTGACTTACGCCATCCACCTCAATTCTTGTGGTCTGAGAATCTAGTATTTCCAGTGCCATCTTGTCCTGTTTGGAGCGAATGACCTGTTTACTCGTAAAGGGAAGAGTGTCCAATTGCCAAAGTCTCTCCACACAGTGAGATGGCGAGAGATCAGCTGGTCGAGTCTGGTTCAGCAGACAAGTGTTCCTCTTCGTCTGCCCTAGCATCATCGACGGACCTTGGACAGTCCAGCCAAGGTTGGTGTGGACACCACTAGGAGCATCTGAATTACCAAAGCGTACTGGCTCTATAGGCAAGATCAGCTTTGAGTTGTCGGATCCTATCAGAATACAAGGCACTGCTCCATTTATCTTTGGTAGAGGAAGGTTTTCCAGATGAGTCCAGCACTGCTGCATATCCTCTATGGGATATGTGTACTCTGACATGCATAGATTGTCTGCAGTGAAGGCATTGTCGATGTCAAACCTATTGGCTGGCTGGTCTGCTGACGAAATCTGGAGTTTCACAGATTGTCCACTACAGTGCACTGATTCTTGACTTATTGTTGTAAGGAGAATGGAATCCTGCTTCCCAGTGAGTTGAAGCTGCTGAGCCGTTGATTTCAATATCATGGTTCGCATAGATCCATCATCAAGAATTGCGTATGTCGATACTGTGCTGCAGGGACCATGTAGGATTACTGGCACAATCTTTAACATAATGAGTGCAGGATGTGATGGTTGATCCATGTAGTAAACTTTGGATGATGTCTGCTGAAGGGCATCATGTAAGACTGTTAGATGCAACTGCTTACAAATGTGACATGGCTTTCTCAAGGTGCATTCCCTTTCTTTGTGGTTTCGGCCACACCTGCTGCATCTGTTTTGACCCAGCCACTTGGAAATCTCACTTAATGACAGCTTCTTGAATTCAGGACACCCATTCAGGAAGTGGTCCCCACTAATACAATATGGGCAAAATGGCTTAGCTCTATTCACAGATGAAGTCTTGGCCTCCCCTGGTCAGGAATAAAGCTGTTGGATTAGGGTTGTCTATTGCCCAACCGAGGCGGTGGAGGCTTCCGATGCTCTCTTGGGGTCTCCGGCTTGTAGACTGTGGCAGCCTGGCTGGCAATGCGCATGGCACGTGATTTGGTCTGTAACCAGTCGGCTAAGTGACATAACGTATATGTCTGGTCACTGTCTGATCGAAGGATTGAGTCTTTGATACAGTGCTCTACAAAGCTGTCTCTGTAACTTGGTGGCAATTTTCCAAGTAATCTGTCGACATGCGAACCACATTTAAGCTCAGATCCATTTCCACTTTCCACTGACTTCAGCATTCCTACTAAAGAACGTACGGAGAGAGCAAAACTGTCAAATGCATCGAGATCCCCGTACCTCAGTACAGGTGTTCCCATAAGGGCTCCTAATTCACTCTGAACAAGCTGTCGTGGCTGTCCATATCTCTCCTTCAATGCTTGGAGTGAGGTTGTGAAGGGCCTCTCGTCGTGCATGAATGAATGCTGAAGCTAGTCTCTTAGGGGGACCTCCAAGCCTGTCCAGTAGAATTTGATATTTGTGTTGCTCGGTCAAGCCTGGATGGACGCTTACCAGATTATCCAGGGCTATCTTCAGTAGGGCAAAATCCCTTTCCTTTCCACTATTGAAGTTAGGTAGGTTTGGCCTTGGAATGAATAGTTGAGACATGGCTGGTGTCACTTGTGGGTTGACAGGGTGGAAGTCATAGGGAATTGGATTAACATTCACAGTGTCACTCAAGGTTGAATTAGAGTTTATCAAATTCTGCCTGTGGGTTTCATAATGTGGATCAGCACAGTTTGGTTGTGAGTAACATGGTTGATAAGGGTAGTTGTGTATTCTTGGTGATGCTTGGTCAGTAAAGTTTGCAAACGATGTCTGGGCTGACATGGCTGCTGGTATGCTTGATGGCATCAAGACATGAGTGTCGATCGCATCAGGACCTGGTATCCCAGAGGACATCATGATGGGAGAGTGGACCACACCCGGAGACATCATGACTGGTGTATGGACAGCACTGGAAGCTGGTACACTGGAGGATATCTGGACGGAAGAGTGAACAGCGCTGGGAGCTGGTACACTGGAGGATGTCTGGACGGAAGTGTGGACAGCACTGGGAGCTGGTACACTGGAGGGTGTCTGGACGGAAGTGTGGACAGCACTGGGAGCTGGTACACTGGAGGATGTCTGGACGGAAGTGTGGACAGCACTGGGAGCTGGTACACTGGAGGATGTCTGGACGGAAGTGTGGACAGCACTGGGAGCTGGTACACTGGAGGATGTCTGGACGGAAGTGTGGACAGCACTGGGAGCTGGTACACTGGAGGGTGTCTGGACGGAAGTGTGGACAGCACTGGGAGCTGGTACACTGGAGGGTGTCTGGACGGAAGTGTGGACAGCACTGGGAGCTGGTACACTGGAGGGTGTCTGGACGGAAGTGTGGACAGCACTGGGAGCTAGTACACTGGAGGATGTCTGGACGGAAGTGTGGACAGCATTGGGAGATGGAACAGTGGTGCTCATCACAACAGGGGAATCTTCATTTATCATACAGTCAATGAAACTTGCCTCTTTTAATCCGGCTTCAGCTTCCCGAATTCGCCTTAAGTGGGTGATCTTAGTTCCTAGTCGCTCTCGTTCTCGTTGGGCTTCAAGGCTCTATCTCATGAGCCCTCCTCTGCGTCTTTAGAATTTCCATTTCAGCCTCCTCCTGTGCCTTTCGTGCTATGTCGTCACATCTTGTTAATTCCTCCTGTGTGAGGATATCCTCCTCAAATCTTCTTTGCAATTCCTCTAGTTTGGATAATTTCTTTAGTTTTTCTAACCTTGCAGTTTGCTTGTCTGACAGCTGTGAGGTCACAGATCTTATTGATCCTTGGGAAGTTCTGCTACATACAGAGCTGTGGTCAGATATTGTGGATTTTGAATTTTCTGATTTCTTATTTCTTCCACTTCTATTCACTGATTTCGATGACTCTACTGACTTTCTGCTTCTTTGAGTCACAGATTTGTTTGCTTCTGTTACAGCAACTTCCTTATCAACATCCATAGGGGGGTTTGATAACACATAGTCCTCCCTGAGGTGCAAGGGTAGTTTACTTTCCCTCTGTGACTGTCTTACCGGTGCTATTGGATCTTGAGAGGTGTGCTCCTTTGATGCCATTTTCCACTTTATATCCGCCTCAAGGAGACCATGAAAACACGGTGCAGGTATGCACGGGACCAGGTTAGACTTGTTCAGTGGTTCAAAGGAAAACCAACAAGGTCAGGTACCATTAACTTTGTATTCTGGTGAAGGGTACAACAGAGGCATGCACCACATGGGTGCCGCCATATTGGATCCCAAAAAGTTGGAATGATGCAAAATGTAGGTTGAAACGGAATTGGCATGCTAAAACGAAATAAGATTCATAGATAAAGTAAATGACCATTTTGGTCTTAAAAGGACTTTGTAACATCTGAACTTTGGACTATTTTCTTTGCATCTGCAAACTAATGTTTTGTGTGAATTTTATTTAATTGATTGCCATTTGCTGTTCCCAAATGGGGCAGTCTTTAGAGTCAGATGGGTGAGTCCCAGCACAGTTGGAGCATGTTTTGACATTACTGTGACAATCTTCTGTTGTGTGTATATTTTCACCACAGTGAGCACACAATAACAGACATGTCTGAAATATTCCTTGCATTAAGCTAAACTTTTGACATTTGAAGCACCTAAGAGGGTTTGGAATGTATGTCTCAACATTAAAGGTTACAATAACCTGCCTTCAGTGATTTTGGTGCATTAGGTAGAGAAAAGGAAAACAGATACGTGTTGGTTTTAATGGTTGTGTCGTTTTAACGGGTTGAGAAGCGTTTAACAGAGAGTAAACCCTGATCTATCATCTCGGAGACGATATCTAATTCCGACATGTCAGCCAGCAATCGCTCACGATCTCTAACAATTCCCTTGCTCGAATTAAGGGTCTTCATGAGCCGTGACGGTGACAGGAATGCCGACAAAAGTTTCGGTGTTCAATAGGTTGGTTGACTGTTGTCTTTTGCCACACTCGATCAACAGCGCACCAGAATGTAATCTTTTAATGTTCTTCACATCGCCGGCAATACCTTGGATACCCTTAGACACAGCAAAAGGGTTCAATTTTAATGGTGTCATATCTTTTGTCTCAGTGACAACAAAACGTGGCCACCTAATCAGTTGGTTTGGGCAGTCTGAGTTCGTTGTCAACAGGGTCATTGTCAAGAGGACGTTTGTTTTGTTTTTTGGGGGGTTTCATACGCCATGGTTTGGTGTTTAGATTTCATCATCCGAGCTCCCCACCCCCCATCAAGGTTGTAAAGAAGGCCAAGTTCTTGGGACTAATCTTTGACTCTCATTTGACGTTCATACCACGTATAAACTAACAGTTCTTAAAATAATAATAAACACCCTAAACATAAACAATATATACTACCCATCAAAAGTTTAGACTCACTAGTGTGAATGTAGCCACTTACTTGTCCACTGTTCTAAACTAGCTTTTTGCAAAATATTCCATACTGTTTAAAGGTACTGTTTAGTTATGAACTGGTGTATTGTAAAACATATTCGTAACATTGAAAAGATTATTGTCATGAGTTCAGTAAATGATTAAAATCTGTGAAAATTGGCGAATTCTTAACAAAACTTTACACCAAAACGCATCTGTTCACATGCACGACATTTGCTCATGCCTTTCGCAATTTGAAGCATCATCCGTGTGCAATTCATCTGCATAAGGTTTTCAGTTGGTTCCCCCAAGTTGGTGGAGAAATTCATCTTCGATGTAACCACATACATATACATAACATATAGTGAGTGCTTTAAGTGAGTCTAAACTTTTGATGGGTAGTATATATATAATCTTGTTCATGCCTTCAGGCTATTAAAAACCTATCCAGTAAACATCGTCTTTTAACGGAAACAGTTGGATTGTATAATGATGTTGCTACTGGCCAATACGACATCGTCCACTGTTGGTTACCCAGCCATGTTGGCATTACTGGAACCCCTGTGGCTGATTTTTGCTGTTAAGGCATCACTTAACAAATCTGTGACACAAACTTCTTATCTCATACTCTGATTATAAAGCCGTAATTAGATCATATATCCGAGATTTATTGCAAAATAAGTGGGACACCCAAATAGGTATCAATAAATTACATGAAATAAAACCCTATATCCGTTACACCGCCTTGGGTTGTCAGTCGAGAAGAGAAAAAACAGCTGAAGAGAAGGTGTAAATGCAGTTAGGGTCCATGCAGGAAACAAATGTACTGTAAGTTCACATGGTTCCTATTATGGTGATCTACCTTCAGCTGTTGGCAAGCTATGGCCTGTTTATATTTTGCATCGTCGTTTATAGTTACACTTTTAGATTCATATCTGTGATATTCTGGTTTTTTTTACTGTCCTTCGTTTACAGGACAGACCTTTTATTATTTATATGTTTTATGGTGTATTTAGAACTTGTTTTAGTCACGATATGGCTGAAATATTGCCGATGTGACTGTAGTATTTACTCACCAACTGATTTTATCAATAATGTGGTGTCAAGTTTCTAAGTTTGTTAAGTTATAGTAATCAACAATCACGACACTGTTCCACAAATGACTGACTGACTGACTGAGTTTAGTTTTTACGCCGCTTTTAGCAATATTCCAGCAACATCACGGCGGGGAACACCAGAAATGGGCTTAATTCCACAATGAATAACACTGCTACAGAACAAACTGTAACTGAATTAAATGAAAACCACGTCAATTATAAATTTAAAAAAGGTTCTATGATCATGTATAATTGATTACCGCTTTTTGAAAACGTTGCTTATCTTCTAGAAAAGACAATCCAAATGTTAATACTCAGTACCGACCGAATAAAAATCATTTCTGTGAACAAATGTTGCATTGATCCGCCACAATTCCAGATTTGAATCTGTTTGAACGTATCTGGAAGGCCACTTGATGTCAGGTGGAAACATCAGTGCAGGATCGGGCAGCTTTAAAGCAGGTATAATACCATTTATCTTACCTCACATAAATTTAGCTTTCTGATTGCATGAGCGCTCTTCTATTACTTTCAATGTAACCCGCTTACAAGCGAGTAACATTTCAATGTACCCCGCTGTCAATGGCAACTTATTTGGTACTTCATGGTAGTAATTCTTTATCTCGAATGACATTGAAACACGTATGATGTACGGAAATTACCAATGTTTTGCGAATGCACATCGATGGAAGGGAGATAACTCTAAATCTGTTTTTCTCTGTCGGCAAAATCTAGCGATGGCTACAACAGATTTGTAGCCGTGCTTCAAACAATTCAAAATTAACATTAAGGTCGGTAAGACAAATACGCTGTTCACTGGTCCCTCGAGGCCCATGGGTTGATGTACCCCTCGATGTTTGTTTATGTTCCCTGAGATTCAAAGGGTACATCCCCAATCAAACTAATAATCTACCAATTCGAAAGACTTTCATGGGGATGCGGTTACCATACATTTACTTTTGAGTTAATGGATTTGGATTTGTCTTTGATATTACATTGAACGTTTTCAGATAGCAACGGTCGTGTTGTGAAAATAATTTGGATAAAAGTTAGCTGTTCCTATAAGTGTCGGTATTACACGTTATTTTATCATCAAAAGGTAAACCTGTTATGCAATTTCTGCATGGATTTCGACAAAGAAATGATATTCTACTCGAAAGCTCCTGCAAAATGCAAATATAGCGACTTTGTCCGATATAGTAGAAAGACAAGAGAACAAAAGGTCTTAGTGAAAATACCGACGGTGGATTCAGAATGTGGTGCTGCAGCGTGGACCCTTCAAAACAGTGAGTTTGTTTCATTGTGGTGATCCAGTAATGAGGCCAGAGACACTTTGCATTCACATGTGAAACTGTTGCGGCAACATTACAACATAAATCGTAAACTATTGATATTGACATTGTATCGGGAACTTAAACATTATCCTAAATAACTTATTCTCATCAGACAACGGTCTTGGTAGCTGAAGCTTTGAATATAACAATGTGGCAAACCTGTATTTTCTATCGCCAATAAATAAGCCAGTTTAAGTACCACAACGTTTGTAAGAAGTGGCTATATCTCTCACTCTCTAATAGTTTCCATGTCTTTTAGTGAACATTTTCAATACACTTGAAAACTCTTCGAAATATATAACTGAATGAACGCGAAAATGATCATCGTGAATGTTTTATGCTCCTAAACCGTCAATAATTTCGGTATATTTTCTATGGAGAACCATTTCATGGAATAACGCAGTTAGATTACAATGGTGGCGACAAACGGTTCATTGAACGGACAACAGTGAATACCATTTTTCTTTCATCAATATGGTAAGTCCATTCTGCTTAGAATATGTTTCACTATTTTTCTCCTCATCCATCTGTGCTCAATAATACACAGATAAAACAGTGAATCGCCAGTAAATCAAACTGGGACTAACGTATCACAATTGTGTTGAACTACCTCTCTATGGCGAAAAGCACTTGTTTACTTTAGCCATATT